ATCAACAACACTTCTAATTACAGTAAAATAAAAATGCATTTAGCATTTATTATGCTAAATCCACTGCCTGTCCTAATTTCCCACCCATAAAATCCTATAACTACCGTTTTCGTAGGAAAACGTGCAGGGAGTAGGGATTAAGGAGTGGGTCTACATGAGCTACTGATGCCCAAAAGTCTCCAAGAATGATTGCCTAGTGAGTTCCCTTTGTTCAGTAAATAAGGCAATAAGTAAGTAAAGCCATGTGGTACAAGTGCAGCGGTGTCTGAATTCTTGTCACCTTCCCTTATTTCTCTTGATAGGCTCGGATGGACGAGTGAAATCCATAGTTGAAGAACTTCCAACGGACTCTCCAAACAGCAAGAAATTCCGATGCAAAGCTTACGGTAAGCCAAAAAATATTTTCTATTAGAGATAAAGGGAAATACTGATTTTAAGCGACCGAATGTAATTTAATTGCTCATGAAAGGATAAATTATATTAGTCTCTCCACGTAAGTGGGCCTTCCTTTTAAGTAATCGCACTCACAATTAATCACTGAAAGCATGAGAGTATTAACTTAACCTAGAAATAGCATTGACTAAACCAAGATAGACCGAAATTACCGTGTCTTGCCGCCACTACCACCACTACCACCACCATCATCATCATCATCCCCTTCTCTTCCTGCTCTCCATCATAATCATTATCATGACTGAACTATATAAAAATTTCATGTTCGGAGATAGCTCCAACTAGTTGGTAACCGCTTATTTAGACCAGAGGTTTTGCTGTGTAAGTCAGAAGTCCATATCCTTTTGACTCTTGCTGACCCAGTTAACCAGAATCCAAGTGTCGAGGTTAGTGTCTGATAATCTAACGATAGTTATGAATAAAAAATGAAGATTTCCGTCTTTGTTGTTTTTGTAGGATACGAAGTAATCCGGCCGCATAATAGAAGATAGAACGTATCCCAACGGTTATAAGTTAGTTGATAATATAAGGCGTGGAAGGCCAGAGTGTTAGGGATAATTTAATAAGGTGTAACAGGAGTAGAATGTAAGTTACAGGTTAGTGACTCCCAGACGAGTGCACTCCGGCCATGAGTGAGCCGGAGTCCAGAATCGCATTCCGGTCGGTGTAGTCGCCGGGTTTGGAGGTCTGCAACAGGCAGTAGGTCGCCTGCTCCGGGAGTGTCTCATCCTATTCAATCCCCGCACCATGGGCCTTTGTGGACTGCCCCTGAGAAGTGGTTGGCCAGTGGGCCAGACAGAGCGTAAACTTGAACGGGGGTTTTAATATTGTCTCTTGCACATGCGTGATGGTCATGCCAGACATGATCTGTCCCCGCGGCGTCCGAGGAAAGCGTGGCTAAGAAGTACAAGGTCGCTACAGTTTCATCGACAAGCTTTCTTGGCTATTGCTTCCTCGTCGGTATGCGATTGCCTGAGAGAGCTGTACGTCCGGAGCTCTAATAAAAAGCAGCATTTTTCACGACCTCTCTTGCAATCAGGGCACATCAGCAAGTGTTACACCCACGCACTACTATTAATAAGATCGCCTCTGCTATAAGGTTGAAACCTGAACAGATTTCATCCTCAAGATAACCCGCTTTCACCTTTTAGATGCCTTCAATGGAAGCCACATAAGAGATGCTTCATTCCAGTGGATTTTTACAACGAAATCAGGCGAAATTGTATTACCAAGTCACCTGTTTGCCAACGTCACGGTGCAGGGCGACACTGTGCTCCTCAGTGGACTGCGTAAGGACGTGGATGTCTGGCGATTCCGATCTAAAGACGAACCTCTTGAAGGAAAGTGCATTGCTTTGGCTCCGGCGTATTCGGGTCCCCTCAACGAAACAAGTACACCCTACGCCTACCCCTCGGACAAGTTCTTAGTGCTAGATACAAACAAGATGGTCGATCCAACAGACCCAGAAGCAAGAAGTCTGACTTTT